TATGTCAAAGAGAACACAGCTCAGTTATTTATTCAGGCCTTCTCTGCCAAACCTGCTCTTACTGCAGCTTCTGCTAGTGATCTTGTAGGGGAGTTTAACTCAAAAGTGCCCAATGTTATCGACACCATTGCACCTGAAAAAATCAAGACAATGTCTGGTAAGAGGAAAGCCCCATGGAGAAACTCTCATTTAGTTACGTAAATGTCATAAAACAGAATGCCGGAGAGCTGAACGCAGGTGGAGGAAAACAAAAAAGTAATGGTCCATCGAGACACTTACAAGGGGAAACTATCCACTTATAGGCTGGCACTGAAAAAAGCCAGAGTAATTTTTTTCTGAACTTATCAACAAAAATATTAATAATGCACATGTATAATTTTCCACTTTTGATAAACCCCAAAGTGAGTATAGCCGCTGAATTGCTCTACACCCAGTCATGCAATAACTTTGCCTGCTTTTTCTCAGAAAAAATAATAAAAAGAAATCAGCTCCTCCACTCCAAATCTGGTCTCAGTGACACCGGTGCATTTACACAAAACAAACTTACAAATCATGTCAAAGTTTAATCCAGTCAACCATAAAACACTAGAAGAAGTGATGGTCCATCTAAAACCCACTACATGTTGCCTTGATAGTCTTCCGACAAACTTTTTCAAAAGTGTCCTTAATTGTATTGCCACAGATTTACTGCAAATTGTTAACATGTCCCTCCTTTCAGGTGATTTTCTGAAGGCCATGAAAACTGCAGTTATTAAGCCTCTGCTAAAAAAGAACAATATTGACTCTTTGGTAATCAGTATTTATAGACCCGTTTCAAATCTACAGTTTCTATCCAAAATAATTGAAAAGATTGTTTTCTTACAATTAAATAGTTTTTTAACCTGTAATAACATTTTAGATATCTTCCAGTCTGGATTTCGTTCCCATCATAGCACAGAGACTGGTTTAATAAAGGTTTTAAATGAAATCCGTTTTAACCATGATTGTGGGAAAACAACAATTCTTGTTTTACTGGACCTGAGCACTGTGTTCGATATCGTAGACCATGACATACTCATAGATAAACTGGAAAAATATGTAGGTCTATGTCAAGTAAGTCCTATGTTAAAGATAGAGTCTACTGTATCCACTGTCACTAAGAGAATAAAAATGACGTGGAGTTTCCCAGGGGTCGATCCTCATGCATCTCCTGTTTAATTTGTACATGTTACCAATTGTCCAAATTTTCCAAAAAAACACCTCCTACAATAATTATGCAGATGACACTCAGATCTACATAGCACTATCAGCTGATGAATACGGGCCAATCAATTCACTAACCAAATGCATTGAAGAAATTAACAACTGGATGCACTGTAATTTCCTGCAGAAATAAACTCATTGTCTTCTGTGCCAAAGAGGAGAGACTTAAAGTTATTGCTCAACTCGAACCCCTTTCATTAATGACCACAACAAAGTAAAAAATCTCAGTATAATTATCGATTCAGAATTAAATTTTAACAGCCACATCAAAACCATTACAAAATCAGCCTACTATCACCTTAAAAAAATATCAAAAATCAAGAATCTAATGTTCAAGGAGGACCTTGAGAAACTCATACACGTATTTATCTTTAGTAGACTACATTATTGTTACAGTGTTTTCACAGGCCTCTCTAAAAGTTTGATAAAACAGCTTCAGCACATTCAGAATGCCGCAGCTGGAGTTTTAACCAGGACTACAAAATTTGATCACATCACTCCAATTTTGAGATCACTTCATTGGCTTCCAGTAAGTGAAAGAATCAAGTTTAAGGTTTTGTTGCTTGTTTATAAGGCACTCACTGGGCTAGGACCAGTTTACATAAATTACCTCCTTCAAAGGCATGAACCTGCTAGACCCCTCAGGTCTTCAGATGCTGGGCTGCTTGTAGTTCCCTTCTCAAGAACAAAACATGGAGAAGCAGTTTTACATTTTTATGCTCCTCATGCCTGGAACAAACTCCCAAAGCACCATAGACTAGCTAGCACCTTACAGTCTTTTATCTATCTTTTAGTCAGGTCTTAAAACATTCCTGTTCTCTGAGGCTTTTTAAACCTTTTAAATTTGTATTTATCTAATAAAGGTTTTTAGCCCAGTCCGATACATTTCTCTTTTAATCATTTAATTGTGTTTTAATATAAATTTTTACTTTTATTTTTAACTCTTGTTACAGTATTTACATTTTTTTTTTTATTCTCTTTCGCATATGTAATGCACTTTGACAGATAGATGTGTATTGTTTTAATCTTTACTTATCTATTGCACACTAATTATCTAGCTTCATATTATAAAGTAGGCTACCTCTGTATCTGTTTTTGTATCTTTGTGTCTGTAAAACACTTGAATGACTGTAGTGTTTGGAAGGTGCTATTTAAAAAAATTGCCTTGCCTAGGCTCCGGCCCCCCCCCCCCGCGACCCTGTACACAGGATAAGCGGTTGACGATGGATGGATGGATGGATGGATGCCTTGCCTTGCCTTGAAGAGTCCTGATTTACAACAGCCATTCATTCTCCAGACAGATGCATCTGAACTTGGGGTCGGGGCCGCTTTGGGAGAACCAGGTAATCTTCAGCCTGTGTTGTACATCAGCAGGAAACTCAACAAGAGAAAGAATGTGGAGAAAGAATGCCTGGCCATTAAGTGGGCGTTGGACTCTCTTCACTGTTACCTGCTGGGACGGTGATTCATTCTGGAGACAGACCACCGGGTGTTGACATGGCTCCAGAATATGAGGGACACAAATTCCAGGATAACACTGGTTTCTCGCCATGCAGCCTTTTGACTTTGACTTTGATGTTCTGTATTACTCCTAGCAGGTTGGACATATCAACTTCAGAACTGTCCCAGAAAACTCTTAACACATTGATGAAACCATGTTGTAAAACTTGTGAGTTTTTAGTTAATGACGTGGGGCAAAGTTCCACGCTTCGCCATGACACAGGAAGTTGTTGTTACTTGACTGTACATGCTCAGACCTATACCAAATTTTACATTTTTATTAAGAGTCCCGCCCTGAACACATGTACATGCTGACATTCACCAACAGTCATAGCACCACCTCCTGGCAAAAGCAAGTGACCTTTAAAGAAGCAGCCCCCTCCGTAAGTTTCACCTACATGTATGAAATTTCTGTGGCACATGTATCATGTCCAGACGTACCAAAAAGCCTCCTGGAGCGATGCTCTAAACCCAACAGGAAGTCAGCTATTTAGAATTTTATGGTCATTTTTGGATGATTTACACACTCCGTACTTTAATGAACACCTCCTAGGGATTTAGTCCAATGCACTGCAGAAAGAGCTAGGGGCAGTATCGCTTTCATTGTCTGCCATGACTGCATGACTACAAGAAACGAAGAAGCATTCAAGTGAGAAGCAGAAAGCAGCAGAGAAAGAGGCTAACAACATAACCATTAATTTTTTTTTTTTACAAGTTTTGTACGCTATTTCATCACTAAATACACTTTTGAGAAGTTTTGAGGGGAGAAATCAACTATGTAGATTTCGAATATTGGCAGTTTTCGAGGTTGAGAAGTTCCACAAGCGTCTGCGGGGTTAGTGTGTGAAGCCAGCCATAAAACTTAGGAGCACTTAATAAAAAATAAACAGAAGTAGTAGGAAAGGGGACTGTTGCTTTATTATTCTAATTCTTTTTTTATGCACCAATATACCAAAGAAAAAATATTGTAAATTAAAACCTACTTGGCAATAAACCTAATTGTGAGATTATTGTTTTGGCTGATAAAGCTTGGCTGTTATCTTGGAGCATTCCTGCCTTTCTATAGTTCTTTGCATTCTTGCTGGCTGGAGTAGCCTACTCTGTCTTGTCGTCTTCCCTATTTTCCCCCTGGCATTGATACTCGTATTCATTCTGAATAGTAAAACCTTGTTCACTTAATGGTAGCTAGTTAATCTGTGTGTTGGAGATCAGTAATTCACTTGAAAGAAATTTAATTAGTTAAATGGTTTAATTAGGGTTAGGGTTACAGGGTGACAAAAATAATTGTGACTAGTCGACTAATCTGTTAATCATTTTTTCGATTAGGAAAATAACCATTAGTTGCAGCCCTACTGATACTGGAAAGTCCCTGGTTGTCACGTTTGGCATACTTAAGCTCAGCTGGGACCCTATCATGACCTGTGGAAACCTGTATGATAGTACAAAATGCATGAAAATTCTGAGGCATGTCAACTGAGCTCCAGTAATGACACTGTGGCTGCGACACACCCCATGCAGGAATGTGCAGCCCGAACATCGCCGCTTGCCGCTTAATTTAAAATTAAATCTATAACACAATAAAATGTGATAAAACTGAAGAAGTCTGAATATTTTCTGAACCCATTGTATGATTCACCCATACCTTTTGCACAGGCCCAATGAAATTTGCGCCAGTTGTTGCACCAATAAAATAAGGCCCAAAGTGTCCAGTTCATAATAGATTTATGTTCCTCCTGTCGCTCTGGGTCTGTCGCTGTTTCCTCTTTTTACATTGCCAGGCCTTTGGACACACATTTTTGACACAGTAACTCTGTCAAAGATCCACCAGACACCCTGTATATCCAGCGGAGAAACCGAGCGGAGAAACCTCACTGGTTAGCTCCACTGACCCTCCTTGTCTCACACACGATGTAGCCACGCCTCCTACAGTCATTCCCTCACTCTGTTGCATTTTAAAAATATGCTTGGAGTGGGTTAATGGCTAATGGCACTCTCATAATTTGAGGGTGTAGTTACCCTTTAACTATAATTAAATGAGAATTGTGTGCCAACAGAATGCAGAACTGCAGTTCAGTCCTGAAACCTCATGTTTTAGTGTAGTTCTATCAATGCAAACATTTAGGAGAGGGGCTCCTTCCTGGCAAGTGTGAAGTTGCAGTGGAGTTTAAAGGAAAAAGAACAGCTATGCATGGGAATTTGTGTATTCCACATTGGAGAGAAAATAAACAAACAATTAAAATAATTAAGTCAGGCACATCTCTGATTAATCTTTTTTATGAATAATAATTTACATCTTACAAAATGAAATAATTATTTTAGTAATTATGTAAACACTGAATGTTTGCATTACTGTACACCATATTTAAAGACACACAGGCTTTACAATCATGCTGATCCAAAGTTAGGTTCATAGTGTTATACATTTTATACATTTACGACATATTGCAGATATTTGGTATTGAATTGCTATTACAGGATTTATCCCTTGTGTTTGTGTGTGTGTGTGTGCTCCTGTTAAATTGACAATTTTAAAATGATATGCCACACAAAATCTATCTTTTGAGTATTAAACACTGAAGGGCTTAGTAGATGGCTGTTGGTGTATAGCTACAGTCAGCTTGTGTTCATGAGAAAAAGAAAAAAGTTTGTGGTGGCTGGGCCTCACTGATTACTGTACTAAACCACTCCTTTCTAACTTTAGTCGATGATTTTGATTGATCAGATTTTATGGAGACAATATTAGCTGTAGCTACAGCTTACTGTAGCGTTAGCAACAAGTAAAGGAGTTTCCTGATGGACAGATAGACCTCACAGTGACCTCATTGGGAGCTGAAGCAGAGTTGCCGTAAGACATCAGAGGGAAAACTAATATATTTACCTTTCCTTCATAACCATAAAAGCACTTTCCATGAGACAGATTGAATAACCTCAAGCTCTAGCACAACAATGGCGCTTGGTGTTGTATTGATGAAAAGGTTTGGACAGTGGGGGGCATGTGTTTTCAGTATTCAAAACAATTTTTAATGATTCTGCACAGCACAGGGCTCACTGGATGTATATTAGATGAGTAGGCTATACGTTTTAGTGTGTGACCTGATCGGCTGCTGTCTTTCCTTAAATTTAAGTATTCTCAAGGTAAAAAGGGCCCATTAAAAATCTATGCACTGGGACCCATCCTTAGTAGCAGATGCCACTGATTTTTTTGGATGGACTGACACTTTTGTAGCCAAGCGGACTACTGATACTGTTCTACATAATAGAGCAACCTTTATAGCCACCTATCAAGTCTGGCTATAGTCAGTGTTTCACACTGATAAGATACATTTCTGGTGGAGTATCACTTTGGCTGATTCACTCATTTGAATATTCATATACACAAACTTTTTAAACAATCATTAGTGATTTTCATACAATACTATTTTATGTATTTATTTTATTAGGACACTTCACTGTTTGTATTGGGATTGTGTGGTACACATGTGTTGAAAGGTATTTTACAATAAAACAACAGTTATAAAACTTGCTCCTGCAGCTGAGGGATATTTACAGTACCTTTACAAGAACGTTTAGGGTTCTTGCCATCCCCACACATAGCTCCTAACCAAACAGAGACCACCATGTATCTTGACTATTTTTCTCTAAGTGCATATGGCCCTGAATGGTGACATTCATCACTGTTACAGATTCACTGCTTTACTTCACTGCCCTCCCCCCCCCACAAATTAGAAACCTTTGGGGTACGTCTCCCCACCCTTAAACCAATCTTGGCACTAGTTTGCAGGCCTCCTCCACTTTCCTGGGCCTGCTGGATCTTGAAGGCCTCCCTTAGGTTCTGAGCTCGGACCTCCTTGCTCTGGATCTCTTCTACTACTCGACAAGGGAACCAGCCCCTTTCCCCGTCATGGAGCCTTTCACCCATCATCCAGCCTGGAATAAAACAGACACAGAAAAACCAGAGGTAGCATGAAGATGAAAGAGAACATTTCAGAAAACAAAGACTAGAAATGTTTAATTGTTTATTTAGTGATAGTGCCTCAAAAGGGATTTAAAACAGATTTATGCCTCTACACACCATTGTCTGTTCTCTCTAGGAGGTTCAAAACATCAGCCATCTCAATGGAGAGTTCATCAGGCTCTTGAGATGAGTATGACTGAATACACTGCACCTGTGGAGAGTCTGATACATATCACAGATATGAGTTCATATCTCCACATCTGTATTTTGACAATTGTACTTAGTTTTGTTGTTGTGATATTTTGTCTCACCTGCTTGATGGGCATTAGTAGACGTAAAGCGTGTGCGCCGGTTAGGAGTGAGAGCACACATCCATCGAAGCTTATCACTCCTGTCCACAGGATGCCATTGATTAGTAAACAGTTAAAGGTAAATACATTTATTTATAACCTGAGTTGTTATTTGGTTTGTTCATCGTTCTGTATTTTTCTTAAGACCCATTAAAGAACCAAAATAAACAATGAAGTGATTCTACTAACACATTTTCTCTAAAGAATCCTCCAGAGTTGGTCGTTTTAGCCGGAGTTTCTAAAACCACAATTAACAAATTGCAATATGTTCAGAACTCTGCCGCCCGAATCCTGATGGGAACCAGGAAATGTGACCATATTACTCTTGTTTTGAAGTCCTTACACTGGCTCCCGGTCAGGTTCCATGTCGATTTCAAGATCATGATGTTGACATACAAGGCATTACATGGCTTGGCTCCACAATACTTATCTGGCTTATTAATCCCTTATACCCCAAATCGCAGACTGCGCTCCTCACAGTATAACCTCTTAACTGTCCCACTAATGCACCTCAAATCTATGGGTGACAGGGCTTTCTCTGTTTATGCTCCTGTTTATGCTCCTTCACTTTCCTCCTGAACTCAGGGAAGCCCAGACTCTTGGCATTTTCAAAGCTCTTCTCAAGACACACTTTTTTAAACTTGCATTTGACTGCTGATGTCTATTTATGATTGTTTTATAGTTATTTTTATTATCAATGTTGTTGATTTTTGTTCTTATTTATTTTTATTTGCTGTATTTTTCTGTGGACTGATTTTATGTTCAGCGCTTTGAGAAGCTGCTTTTAAAGGTGCTCTATAAAATAAAGTTTATTATTATTATTATCACAAATTACTGTGAGATCAGTTGTAACACCAGCGTATGCCGTGATAGTAAGCAAGTGCACTTCGGGCCGTGAGTTTAATTTAATTTCTCATCCAGTTCTGTGTCTGTAAGACGTTCTGACTGTATCAGCCAGGAAATAACGCAGGCTAATGCACACACAGAATTTGAAAAGTATGTACACGCTGAAATATCCACATGTATAAAACCAGGCATACGACAGGTCCTGCACACCTTTCCTTTATACATCTCAATCAACGTGAAATTGAGCACACATGCAAGAGCCAAATACTCAACCTTGGTTCCTCCCATAAATTACTAGGCAAATGACCATAAATACGCCAACGTCACCTCCTAAGGTCCGCATAACAACAGCTAATCTAAAAGAGAAAATACACCGAGTGTGAGATTGAGATGATGAAGTGGAGCCAAAAAAGAAATATTTTGATAGTTTGAACAGAGTGGCAGATTTTCACAAAGGTAGTCAATGCAGCCGGCTCAGAGACTGTACAAAGAAATAAAGAAAACATTGTCTGGCATAAAAGTGGATGTCAAAAAAAGACGAGTTTCTCTGATACAGAAATCGAGGTGTTTGTGAGGTTGAAGTTAAAAAACACACATTGTTTGATGCGGCTTGTTCAGAAACAAAAGATAATTCTGCGACTACAGAATTATAATATTCACAAAAGGGGCTTGGATGAAATAGCAAACATTATATATTTTTGATCACATCAAAGACACACCTGTTTGCTCATTCCTGCTACTAAGAGCCGGCTGCCAGAAACCCCACAGTGGTTACAGTCTACATGTACAGTATTAACCGAGATGGCGCTCTTCCATCGGGTTGATCTGTCTAATGCTGGACCAGTTCAGCACACAGATTCAGCTCTCGTCAATTTAAATTTACGTATTTGCTAACCATCCTGAGGCAGGAAATCATGGTCCCTCATTGACACTCTCTAATTCTTCTATTTGCGAGGTCCTCTGCAGTGTAGTGCAGTGTAATGCTGCATTACGCACGAGTGTCACGCAGTATTTATATGTTTACAGCACTCATAGTGAGTACTTCACACCTTACCAAAATGATCGCTTCAGTCAGTGGTATCTTCCACCCTGAAATATAATGTGAAGATGGAGATTTGACAGGTACTGTGGCTCAGGAGGTAGAGTGGGTTGCTCCCGATGGCTGTTCTATCGGTGTATAAATGTGTGTGAATGGTAGTTTGAATGTTTAAGACCTAGGCTCAGTGTTGAATGAGTTAATGTGATGTAGTGTAACAGCACTAGAAAGGCGCATACAGAGCATTTACATGTTGGTTTTATTATGTCTGGCCTGAATTTATGATGAGGACTTATGGTGAGGTTGGAATGTAGCGATTGTGCGAGAGCTGTCACTGGCTTTATTTCCAGACATTGCTAATTCACACAGTCAGGTGCAGTGCAGGTGGTGAAGATGTGCAGGTAGGTGAGAAGGCAGATCTATTTGTTCGGCTGACACCACTTTCTGTTCACTGCAGCGATTTTACAATCAAAAACTAAACTGGAGACTAAATGGTGATATACGCACAGAAGATATTATAAAAAAACTATTGATGCTCTGTTCTGCAAATCTTTAATGCTTTTAAATGTTATCTTGGATTTTTTGGATGATGATAATTCCATCAGTTAGCCAAGTTAAAGTCTGAAAAGGACTCGGTAGCTTTGTTTACATGTAACTGCCTGACATTATCCTGGCTTTATGCCGGCAGTTAAACAGCTGTAGTTCTCCACAACTGACACTTTATTATGTTTTTTGTAGACTAGCCAACTTCAAAGACAGAAACTGGAGTGGAAATATTAGGCCTATTTTAAAACATTTGGTGAGTTTCAGTACTTTGGAGTTTACTGACAGAGCCAGTTATACATCAGATGCGTGAGTTAAAACCAGCATACGTTACCTTTTTGTGCATAGGAAGCGTTTCTACATGAGGCCCCAGGAGTTTGTAACTGAATTAAAGTTAATTAATTTATCACTGAGGGGAAAAGGTACCACAAGCACATTTAAAGAGGTTGCTTCCCCAAACAGAAGACACAAAAGAGGAGGGAAGACTAAATCATGTGTCCGCAGCAGGGATTTTATTAAATGAGAAAAATAGATCTACATGAGAAACATATTTAAAAGCAAAAGCTGCAGAATGCCTGAGAGCTATTCTATCATGTTTTTATATTTTGAATTTTCACCTGCAGTATGAATTTTGTGTTTCCCTATTATATATATTTCCTCTATAAATTGATGCAGAAGTTTTTACTAAAATGCAGGAAATTAAGTGTTTAATGTTCACCTAGGGCTCTGACACTCTCAGGGCAAGCCCCGCCCTTACCCACCTCTTATTAGCAACCACTCATCCTAAGCTGATTCTGCTTCAGATACTCACATACTGGAGGTCTTGAGCATGTAGCTGACTGGACGCTCCTCTTGGTTTTCAAGTAGTTTAAGATTAAAGACATTGGCCAGTAGTTGGCCCTGGTCTTCAAGATCTTCAGTCCTCAACATAGCCCGTGTGCATGAATCAAGAACCTGGAACTTGTCCCCACTGATAACAAGTAAACTGAATTAATATTGCATGCTTTCAGTGCAAAAATTAACTGATGTGCATAAACACAAACAACAGTACACTTAGCTAAAACAAGTGAATAGTGAAGTGATGAAGTGATCAAATACATCAGTCCTTCAATAAATCCTACTTATATAAAGATTATAAAAGAGAGGTGTTGTTCAACTGTATCGGCATTTTGTGGTGCTGTTGAATTTTATTTTGTTATTGACAAGTGTTTGTATTATTTTGTCCACCCCATTTATATCATTGAGGGTAGGGTAAATAACAGAAACAACTCTCTGTATAATGCAATATAACTCAACAGCACCACAAACTGCATCCTCCAGTAGGATCATAATGTTGCATGTCACATTTTCAACAACAACACTAGACCTGCAAGCAGGTATTAATGGGGTTCAAGCCACCCAGCGCAAGCCGCACCCAGCAAACCCGCAAATCTGAAAAGAGTGACACCTAGTGGCTGACTGTTGCCTAAATTTGCACAGAGCCTCACTGGGACATGGTAATAAGCGGGGTGGAAATATATCAAATATTAATTGATAAAAAAGGAGGTGATGAAAATGGATGTGAATTGAAAAATAAAAGGGTTAAAACGGATGTGAAATGAAAAATAGAGTGATTTGATTAAAACAGTAATGATAGAAACATCCATCGTCAACCGCTTATCCTGCGTACAGGTTTGCTGGAGCCAATCCCAGCTGACATCGGGCGCAAGGCAGGGTACACCCTGGACAGGTCGCCAGTCCATCGCAGGGCCACACATAGACGAACAACCACTCACGCTCACACCTAAGGACAATTTAGGGAAACCAATCAACCTAGCCTGCATGTCTTTGGATGGTGGGAGGAAACCAGAGAGAACCCATGCTGACACGGGGAGAACACGCAAACTCCACACAGAAAGGCCGGGGCAACTGGGGTTTGAACCCACGACCTTCTTGCTGTGAGGCAACAGTGCTAACCACCGAAGCACCGTGCCGCCCAGAATTAAAACATAACCATTTTTATTCATTAATCATCATTCACAACCCAAAATTAGCATTCATCATTTAAAGCAGGGAGCCTCAAGTGTTAAAGTAACAAAAAGTTGATAATAAAATGGAGGTGATGAAAATGCATGTGAACTGAAATACAGAGTGGTTAAATTTAACGTGAATTGAAATCTAAAGTAATAAATTGTCAGCTGATGTGATAAACTTCATTTACCTTTCATCGTTCACAGCACCCTGCTGTCATTCATCGTTCTCCGCATGTAATTTTTGTTACTTCCTGCTGAAACTGTCAATCACAAACCACTCCCCCCGACGAACTGATCGAGGTTTTGGCTCCCAACTTGTCATCCTCTGAGCACGTGCTGGAGCTGGAGCGAGCCCAGCTGACCGGAGGAATATTATGCCGTGCTCTGCTGTTAATTGTACAACAGACTGAAGCCACTGCTCCAGTTGCTTTGGTGAGTGAAATTGTAGTATTTTATTTATGTGTTAGCAGGTATGAATGCCAATTTTGGGTTGTGAATGATGATTAATGAATAAAAATGGTTATGTTTTAATTCTATCATTACTGTTTTAATCAAATCGACTTAATTAATCAAATCACTTCAATATTTATCACTATTTTCACATTATCACATCTTTTTTAACCCTTTTATTTTTCAATTCACATCCATTTTCATCACCTCCTTTTTTATCAGTTAATTGTTATTATTTCCACCCCTCATATGGTAAAAGTACTGGCACAAGTTTATCGTAAATCGCATGAGGCTATATGGAGATGTCACTTCGTGTTTTGACCAGAACTTGCAGGAAGTTGTTCCTATATAAATAAGCACATTTTTTGGACTATCAAAATGATTTTAATAACTTTTAATCATTGAGTCTCTGTGCAAAGATTTGTGCAGATCGAACTCACCGCAAGGAGTTGGAAAAAGCAGGTTTCAAGGTATTTGAATATGCGACATGTGGGAGTTATGGGCCAAAACACAGATACTTTGATTATAATGCCACCTGCTGGCAGACATTTATAAATTTTGGTGTCTGCTGTGCACCATTCTATACATATAAAAAAATGATTTTAGCGTATATCAAGAGCGCCACCTAGTGGCCGGTTGGCGCCAGTGTTTTTGCACAGCCTCAGGGTGTCACGAGAAGCTACTGGCCCGAGTTGTGGGTAAATCAGACATACCAATGTGGAGATATGAGATCACTTCATTTTTAATGCCACCTAGTTTTTTTTTTACCACATTTTGCATAGAGTCCCTGTGGGGCATTGGAATATATCGTGCAGCAATCAAGTCCAAGAACGCTGGTACTGTGATTGGCTCAGACTTGAACCTCTAATTATAACCTTCATGAAGTTAGGATGAATTGCAAGACTGTTGTATTAGACAGCGTTAAATTTAGCTAGTTGTCTCTAAAAAACTTGCAACTGAGTGTAAAGAGACTGACAAAACAAGTAATTTGTTAAAAAACAAGGATTTCACAGTGAGAATACCTTACCAAATGCTTACCTAGAGCTGCGCTTGGTGACCAGCAGCAGATTGTTAAAAAGGAACAAGTAGACTGGTTGGTAGAGCTTACGACTCCGCATCGTCCTAGTGCTCTTAGGTCCAGCCATTAGCTGCACCTCCCCCTTCTTTAACAACCAGCGTGAGTGCGAAATGATGGGCACAGACTACAGAAGATAACAGATGTAAAAAGCGGTATAAAGCAATGTTTCAACAACAAATTCATAAAACTGTAATTTTTTAATAGTCTGTATGTCATTTGGTCACTTTGGATATTACAGAAAATCTTGTTACCCTAACTGATAGATGTACCATACATTTATATTTGCAACTGTGTTTTGTTTGACCTCTATGACCATCAGCAAGTGTAGAGAACAATCCGTGTATGGTCCATTCTTTGATTATTCCATTTAAAAACCAAATCAGAAAAACCACAAAAACAAGTTGTCTTTTGTCTTTTTTCCATTTTAAAACTAATCATTGAAAAATGGAAAAATGGTAATAAAAAAACCAGACATCTGTTTTTGTTTTGTTTTTTAACCCAAAACAGAAAAACAAAGCAGCTGCGTTTTGTTCTATCTGTGACCAGTGTTGTATCACTACTGGTTTTCAAACTAACTGGCTGCTGTGCAAGTGTGCGTGCTGTTGTTTGCAACAGCTGTGGTCTGCCTCCACCCCCAGATTGGTCACTGTAACTGACTCTGAGAAAAGTCTATTAAGAAGGTAACCACTTCAAATCTTTATTTTATTAGTTTCCTCTTTTAATATTATGAGTCCTTTATTAAAGCTCTTAAAAAAGGATAATTAAGACATAAGCTCCTCTGAAAACATGATTTGTGATATTTTTGGGGGGCCCCTAAAATATTAACAATATGCTATTTTTGCCATTCACTATTTTTCTGTATCATCATGGATCATGTGTAAATAAGGAGCGTCAGGGTTCACTGTCCATCCGCAGTGCACCGGGCCTCCTCTCCCTCGCCCTGTACACTCCAGTGCACAGCAGGCTAGCATCAGAGGTTTCCAATTTTTTAAGTTCAGAGAAAAATTATTTTCCGCCATCTTGAACCTGAATCTGCGAGCACTCACGTGGTCAGATCCACCCCTCTCTTAGTCTCTCCCTCTCCTTTGTCTCTCTCTCTCACACACACACTTGCTGGATTGTTGTATGTGTTTGTATGATTTGTTTATTGGCTTTATTTCATTTTACTTAGAATAGTTAATAGTGATTTACTTGCTAGTTGTTGGTCATTGATGTATGCTGGAGTTCAATAAATCCTATTATAATTTTAAGAAGTCGTTGTCTGTGATTATTTGTGTATAATGTTGTAGTTAGAGTTGTTTGCAACAGCCAGTGTACGGACTTACCCTTCTCTGTTTGCCATCTATAGGTGGACCCCTTTTTAGACTGATCATACTTGGCTCATATTTGGTTATTAGTCCCTGATACCAGAGTGGTATTTCTTAATAATAATTAATCATTTTGAATATTAATAATTGTGACATTTTAACCGTTTGTCTTTTTGGTATAATTAACAAAGGCAGAAACCAGAAACAGGCCATTTTTTCATTTTTTGAATTGTGTGACAAAACTAAAAAACAATATTCAGCTTGATTTTTCGTTTTTTTTTTTTTTTTAATCAAAAATGTCTCATTTTCCTTTCTTACAGACAAAACCAATTTATTACTCAATATTTCCTTTCATTGGTGGGTGGGACTTCATCAACCCCTTGCTTCTGATTGGATAGTGTGTTCTATCAGTTATGTTTGTGCTTCAGGCTACTCTTTAAAATTAAGGTTCTACCAAAGAATCTCTATTACTGCTGTGGTTCTCCCTCTTTGCCATAAGACGATGCAATGTCTACACAAAATTTTACACTTAGTTGACAGTTTATTAGCAAAAACTAATTACATAATGCAATAAATCCTCCTTCATGATAAGAGATTAACAGTTTATGAGAGGTGGCGATTCAACTGTATGAACAGTTTGGAGCATGTAGTTTGTGGTGCTGTTAAACCGTAGCGTATTAAACAAGGTGTGTCTGTCATTTAGTCTCGCCTCACAGATTAAGGCAAGCATGCCAAAAGGATTTTTTTTTAAAATGACCTGCAGGTGTTGCACTGCACTCCCTCAGCTGTGATCACCTGGAGCCACTTGAGAAAACTGCTCCACTGAGTTAATTCTGCAGTGCTTAAAGATTCATCACACCTGACATGGTCTAGTTAGGCTTAGTTTTATGTCTACTCAATTTCTATTGCCAATAGCAAGGCTAGGCTGAAGAGAGTGAAAACTTTTAGGGAGGCGAGATCATCAAAACCAATGATGCAGCACCGACATTTTCCACACACAGGATGAAAACAAATTGGTATAGCAGGCTGATAAGCTACAGTTGTCAAAAAGACCAAAAAGATAATTATCCCTATCTTGCGCAAAGCGCAGCGCAAGTGTCTAGTTTCCAACTGGCGCAGTTGACATTTGTGCGCCAAGCGACCAAGTTATAACAAATGCACTTGCGCCCATGGGAGTGTTGGTCCCCCCCCACAAAAAACAGGTCTAAAATCAATGGCACAGTATTTCATTATTTTTGTTATTTTAGGGCCGCATTACTGTGACACTGTGCGCATTTATGTACGAGGCACAGCAGCGTAACTTCATTGATTATTAAAATCTCCTGACATGCTCTGACAGGATTGGTCAGGATCTAATGTTAATTGATGTTCTGTGTTCTTTTACACATCCAAAAGGTCACAGTCCAGTCCAGGTTCATACATTGAAACTGTTTGGAGTAAATATTGGAGCCGTCCTCCATCAGAGTGTCTAAATAATTTCAGAAGCTATGTTGAATTCTGTTTCCTCTGGAGAGTTTCCTCTGTCCTGTCATATCAAGTTTATAACTTAAGCTTTTTTCTTTTTTGCTGCTCAAATACCCCACAATATTTGATGCAACTTTATTTAGCACATGATGTTTAAAATGACCGACAGCAGCCTCTCTAAGCATGAAAGTAAATCGTTAAAGAAAATATTCATACATCAATAACACAAAATAAAGAAACCAGTGTAGAGGAGAGATGTGACCCACGACCGGTTATCATAGTTTATGTTAATGCAGTGCAGTGAGAATCCAGCATCTGTCTGTTAACAGACTGGAGTTCCGACACTTCACTGATAAATTGCAACACAGGCTTCATGATCAGAGATGGTTTTTATATCACGTCCACACTTCTCTCCATCTCCACTCTCTGCTGTGAGTCTGCAGTTCAGTCAGTCAATTGGTGTTTTTCATAATGCGCCATTCACGCTATTATAATAGCAATGCGCCAAGGTACAAGCGCACCTGGCTTTAAAAGGGAAATGACACTGATTGGTGTATTGCATGTTATGCCCTACACACCCATGACTAATTCACAGACTAAGTGCGGACCTTTTTAACCATGCGCTGCCGTCAAACTAGCAAAATTGGAGTTGGATATGTATAAAGATTTGCCCACTCGCCATTTTTAATTGCCCCCTCAGTCACTTCATCCTAGCGCTAGGCCTGGTCAGACCGTCTGAGATGTAACGTTCTGTGTCTGACGCTGAGGCTACATCAAATGACTTGAACTGTGACGTACTGGCATTTGGGTTCTCCATCATGATAATACGCACACTCACAGACTGGAGATAGTTTAATGCGCTTGCTACGGCAATACGGGAAAAATGGTCACAGGAGTGTACATATGTTAGTACATATGTTTCATTAAAACTAACAAAAGCTGTTTGCTGTTTTGTATAGCAGCTGTTTTATTTGCAAATTTGACAAAACCTGGGCAATAGTAATTAATAAAATATGATATGGTTATTTAGTCTTATTGGCTTGCATCTGACATCAAGGCTATTTTTCAAAATCATATCAGGGGTGATAGAAGCTTCAGACATAATTGTGCTAAATGATCATCTATGGCTACAAAGATGCAAAACCCCTTCTCTTACTCAGGATTTGTTCAAATGTTGGCAGTCTTAAGTGTGTGTAGAGATGTTACTGTCAGCGCTATATTTAATATATTTAATGTGGTTTCCACTGTAATGGACCAAGCGGTTTCCCTTTTCTACCAGCAAATGGCACAATTTAAATGAATGCCTGGTTTGTGTCTTTGGTAACTGTTTTAAATCCAGATTATTGATATAAATGCATTTATTATTGTTCATTTTATTTATTTATTATTATTTGCAGCCTAGTTATCATCTTCATCATCCACCCTCAGCCCAGAGTTAAACCTGCATGCCCTTCTGTTCTAACCTGGTTCTAACACTGCTGTCAGCTTCTAGCAGCTCTGACAACAATGTAGGCCCTCTGGGCAAAAGAATGATTTACCAGTGTGCTATATACTGTGTGACTACTGTTTTAAGAGGTGAGTATATGAGAAATTGTATGGGCATGAAACGTACTGAACGTGGGTCATGCAGCAAGACAACAACCCCAAGCACACAAGTTGTTCTACCAAAAAATTGTTAAAGAAGAATAAAGTTTTTTGGAAGGCCAAGTCAAAGTTTTGACATTAAAATGATAGAAATGTTGTGGAAGGATGAGGAAGCGAGCAGCTCATGTGAGGAAACCAACCAACATTCAAGAGTTGAAGCTGTAATGTACAGAGGAATGGGCAAAGATTCATCCAAGTCAATGAGCAGGACTGTTCAACAATTAGCGGAAACGTTTAGTTGTTTAGTTGCAGTTATTGCTGCACAGGGGGTTGATATCAGATCCTAAAAGCAAAGGTTCACACACTTTTGCCACTCACAGATATGCAATATTGGATAATGCTGAGGCAGATTGGAGAGTACATATGGAGGTTTGTGGGGTGAGGAGTTCCTTGAAGTAGGGTGGGAAGGGGGTGGCTTCACCATGGATGTACTTGTGGGTAGGAGGGACACCTCGACTCAATCCTGAGTGAGACAGGAAGCCAGTGGAGTGATTTGAGGATGTACAGAAATATAGAAAATTGTAAAAGGTGCAGAAACTTCGAGCCCCACTTCGAACGTGAAACTGTAGACAGGAGTGTGTGTCCTTATTGAGCAGTAGGTTGTTCTCTGAGCACCACTCTGCAAGATTATCAATTTCCTCCCGATATGAAGTCTTATCGATGTTTGAAATCCGTCCGATGATGGTGGTGTAATCCGCAAACTTCAAAACAGAGTTGTCTTCATGTCGGGGGATGCAGTCGTGGGTGTACAGCGTGAACAGGAGGGGGCTGTGCACACTGTGTTGAGCACTAGAGTGGAGGAGGTGAGTCCGCCAATCCAAACTGACTGGGGCCTGTTTGTGAGGAAGTCTAATATCCTGTTGCAGAGTGTTGCATTAAATGTGTGAGTGCTGAGTTTGTTGATCAGTTTCATGGGGAGATTGTGTTGAATTCTCAAGGTGTGTGAGGGCTGAGTGAAGGGCAGTGGAGATTCTGAAAGAACTGGTGAGGGTCCAGGCTGGCTGCAATGTTTTTTTTATGTGCTGAAGAACCAGTTTCTCAAAGCACTTCATCAGAATGGGGGTGAGAGCCACAGGGCGGTAGTCGTTCAGACTAGACACTGCAGACTTTTTAGGTCCAGGAACGATGGTTGCTGTCTTGAAGCAGGTGGGAACCCTCTCCTGAGATACTGAGATGTTGAAAATGTCAACTAGCTGATTGGCAGGTTTGTAGTTCACGGCCAGGAATGTTATCAGGCCCAGCTGATTTACTCATATTCACTCTCAGCAGGACTCTCCTCACATCTGCTGTGATACTGACAGGGGCCGGTCCTCTGGAGGTGGAGTAGACTTTACAGCTGACTCTTTGTTGAGGAGATCAAATGGTGCGTTCCATTTACCTCGGAAGTCGGAGGTCAGAGCTGGGAATGACGTCACACCCGAGTTGACGACGTTCCAGTTAACAAGTTGGAAAACCTCGCTCAGCCAGGTTAGCCATTGATACGCCGGTTGATTAAAAAAACGCATTGGGCGGAATTTACTCACACTAAACACTGTAGCCACACGACCACATACAGCACTTTGTGTACGAACATTTCTATGAGACACAAGTACAGAGAAGTGCTAATAAACAGTATAAACTAGAGCTTTCACTAACTGTTGATACCCCGACAGCCATCTTAAGTCGGGATTCCAACTTTGAAATTTTGACCTTTGAACTCGGAAAATCCGACTTCCCATGTCAAATGGAATGCACCAAAAGCAAGCATAAAAGGTGTTAAGTTCATCAGGTAATGTGGCCTCACACATGATGGGGGAGCTCCTGCTTATGTAGCCTGTGATGTTTTGATGGCCTGCCACATATATTTGGTGGTGTTGGTGTTGAGGTGTTTAAAATGTTCTGGCTGATATTGTACAACAGTATGTTTAAATCTTTTCATTTCAAGCAAAAAGCTATTAAAGTTAAAAAGCAAAAAAAAGACTACCTTGGCGTGTGGCCTTCTTAATTTCTAATAGTGTCCCTCAACGTATTGACCACACCTGTTATTGAAAGAAAGTCTGAGCACCCAGTGTTCACCTGATCAACAATCAGGGCCGCAGTGCTGTAAGTGCGGGCATACTGTACCTGCTGAGGCCCAGCAGGTCTTCTGGCAGGCAGCTTTTCTGCAGTTAATTTTTGTAATGCCTATGTGTTTTTTGAATAATATATACATAAATACCAATTTTTTTTGACTCACATGGGGAGGAGTGCTCTCATAAAACACCTACAACATCGTAATCCTGACCGTTTTTTCTCTTCATGGAGGGAGGAGCTGCTCTCATAAAACATAGGAGGGAGGAAATGCTTGGTCAGGTCAAAGTTCAACTAAAAAGACGAAGTAGTCTTTTTTTGAATTTTAACTTTGTTTTTTGTTTGTATTTGTTAGCATACAATATCAGCCAGAACATTTAAAATATGGCCTCAGAGGCCTGACTGACGTCCTGAGAAGACATTCTCAGCGTTGACAATCTGTCTTTTAAATAATTTAATTTAATGTTTTTAGATTTTCTTTTGAGGACCTCATAAAATGTTACCTCATGGCTTCACAGTCAATGTTCTGCAGCCATAGATTGTACGTAGGTGCTATATATGTTGAATAAATGTTTAAGACTTAAATGGATTCTCTTCACTTGCATGACACAATGGGAGTGTTGTATGTTATACACACTGGAATGTGTATGGAGAAGAAAGATTCACTCCTACATTAGGACATTTCTGATGTGAGTTTGTTGTCAGTGCTGCTAGAAGCAGATTTTCATCACCCTGGCACAACGTTAGTGCTGCATAATGTTACAGATCTGACGATTGTACAAGCTTGGCTTTTATTTTAATATATTTACTATTACTTCCGGGTCACCTGGCCCACCCGTCTTGCTTTTCTTAATGTCTTTCTTGGATTCAGAAACCAAAAACTTTGTTTGTTTGGTTTGAAACGAAAAAAAGGTGGTTTTCCCATTTGTTCGTTTTGTGGTTCAAACGAAAAAACAAACTATCAAAATATAAACAGACCCAGGATACTCCAAGTAAGTATAAGGGGCAACTCAGCAATCCTCAATGAATTTCAGAGGTACTGGGTTTGTTCTTTTGGCTTTGTATATAAGACACTATATAGCTTTAAAATGAATCAGATTTTGTTGATTTTATTTATTCTATTTACAGTTGACTAGTGACCATCTGAATGCAAATACTGGGGAATTACGCTTTAAATAAGATTGTGGGATACATGTGCCTGCAAAGGATAAACCATGTGTCCAAAACAGGGCAAAGGAAAAGCACATTCATTACCTACATTTCTCAAACCTTTGGAATGGGACAAACTTATTAATTTATGATATGATGATAAAACATTGCACTGCTGGATGTTTAGAAGTTTAGAAGTTTGTGCTGACCCTCTCCTCCCGTTTTGTTCCAGCGACATCAGTAAGGCTTCATATTAAGAAATAAATGCAGGCCACATCAAAATTAGGAAGGGTACAGAGCCCCATCACGATAACTGAACAGTATGACTTCATTTCAGTTGAAATTGCAAGACAATAAGACTTAGTTTACCTTGGATTTAAATTCCAATGTTTTCTCAATGCTGATTAGCTCCTCAGTGCGACTCATTTTTCGCACCCCCTCGTTACACTCTTTCACAATCTAAGGAAGACAAAGACAAAGGCAATGTTCAGACTGCAGGCCAGAAGTGACACAAATCTTTTTTTTTGCTCATATGTGACTCAGATCTGATCTTTCTGTAACAGTGTGAATAGGCCAAGTCACATGGAATCTGATCTTTTCCAGTTTGGATCAAATGTGTGTCTAGACTCAGGTCGGAATTGATGGAACTTTGACGTCACTCTAGAGGGAGCAACGGTGAATGAAAAAGCTCCACAAAAGCCATAATTCTTCTCTACCTTGCTATTATCTGCCCACAAATTCCCTTTCTTGCACCTGAAATCCACCGGACCGCAAGCTCTCTATTGAGTTCAACACATGCTACTTGTCCAAGCAGACGCAGTACAGCGAGAGAGAGAGAGGGAGGGAGTTATGGGGCAGTTGCGTTGAGAGAAACCGGAATGAAAAGGACAGAGAGTTGTGAACACTTTTCATAATTCGGGAGAAATTTGACCCATGAGAGAACAATGAGGTTAGCAAGTAGGAGCTAACCGGAGCTAACCTCTATGGCTCTGTTTACTTCTACACGATAGCGTGCTATGTGTGACGTAAAAATCTGAATTGACCATTAATGCCTGCAGTCTGAACGTAGACAAATATACACCATCAGTCCATATCCTTAGAAAATCATACAATATTGTTTTCTCTTCTTTGTATTTTGTACTTAGTTGTCATCGTTATGGATTTATAAAAATACATGTAGTTTTTAAATACTAAAACTGGCAAAAAAAGTGAAAAACAATTTGAAAATCATATATTGAAATCATGAAGATGATGAACAGGGAGGTTGTCAGACACCAAAACAGTGCACAGCTGTTTGTAATTTTTATATAATATTTACAACATTAAAAAGTTATCATGGTAACAATAATTGTATCCTTCAACTCATCAATGTAAATTGTGCTGTTCATGATGCAGTAATATATGAGGAATCTGTGCTTGCACATATTTGATCTAGCCAATGCAGTGCGTAAATAAACGTGCCAACATAAAGATGGTCATTTCATTATGTTAGCACTATCCTTACAACTGCCTCACTGCATTTATGAACCCTACCTGATATTGATGCTCACCTGTTCCAGTTGCTGATGGGCTTTAATAGCATTAGCTTCCCTCTCTGAGTTTTCCTCTGCTTTTTTCAGGATATTCTGAGTAGAGAAAGTAAAATAAAAACAACAACAAAAAAAATCTACAGTGGCACCAAACTCCCATTTATTACTGTAAATGTAAATGTTTAAAATATGTCCAAACCCACTGCTAAATCTTACCATTTTATTGTACAGTATGTTTTTTATCCATTTAATTAACTCAAGTTGACACACTCACTTGTACGAGCAGCTTGAGCCTTGTGATTCTCTGGAAAGGAAGGATTAGGAATGAAGTAAAGGACAGCCCCCTAACACGTGGATGGTTCTCCAGCGTTGCCATGGCCTCCCGAAATGCCTGGTTTCCCTCCCTGAACAGATGTTAAGACAACACAATGCTTAGTTGATTGTCCATTACACACACACACACACACATACACAAATTCTTTCTCTTCGATGCAGTGATATGAGACAGAAGAAGACACTGTTACACTTGCCTTTGTCATCAAGATCACAATAGCTGTGTTGAGGGTTGATTGATTTCATTTTATTGAAGTTTCCCTGGCTGCACCACAACAACCCAGATCAAGCTATTACATTAAATGTGCAGAGAAGGCAGACTGTGTTTAAGTCAACGATGCTTGGTGCTCAGACGCAGTCATGGGGATTTGGACAATGTTTACCAGCTGTGGAATTTTGTATTGTTAAGATGTCAACCACATAATCTTCCCAGGGAATTCGCCAGTGTTTTTGTTGTTGCTGGTTACCTTCCTCCAGAAGTCAAATTCCCGTGCAAGGTTCTTCTCAGCTTTTACATTGGAGAAATAAAAAAGCATCCTGACTGAAAACATCACTAACTGGCATGGGATGTCAGAAGATCATTGGTACCCATCTCCTGAGCATCAGTGATATCGGTGAGGTGAGGTGCCTGCAGAGCCCAAAGGATACTAAAGGACAGCACCCAGCCAGCCACACCCTGTTCACCCTGATGCCTTCTGGGAAGAGATATAGAAGTTTCTGCTGCCACACCACCAGACTGCAGAGCAGCTTCTTCCCCCCAAGCTATCAGACTCTTAAACTCTAATTCATCCTCAGCACTGCTCCAGTGAATATTTTTCACACATCCATATGCCAATATTCACTCAGAGTCACAGCGCCACCTGCAGGCAACAGGAAATGACACATTTTACGCTATAATCTACTACTCCGAGCAGGTTGGACAAATCACTTTCAAAAGTGTCCCAGAAAACCCTTAACACATTGATGAAGCCGTGTTGTAAAACTTGTGAGTTTGCAGTTAATGTCGTGGTGGAGGCTTAGCGGCGAAGTTCCATGCTTCGCTGTGACACAGGAAGCTGTTGTAACTTCACTGTACATGCTCAGATCTGTGCGAAAGTTTAGTTCCCGCCCTGAACACATGTACATGCCGACATTCACCCATAGTTATAGTCCCACCTGCTGGCAACAGGATCTAATTAGTCTGTAATGTTGGAGATTTGAGTGATGTGAGCTGATCTCAGGGGGAGATTAGCTTTGGTGTGAGAGGTTGGACATGAGGATACATTGTGATTATAATTGGATGCTTATAACTTCAGCCATGTACAGTGATTACAGAGCAATTTATGTTGTGATATAGGCTTATTATAGTATATTATTAGATGCTTGGTGTTTGATGGGTGTTTGGTGTGGATAAAATTGGTTGGTTTGAGCTTCTAGCTGAGCCTCCTAGCTTCACAGTAGCATGAATAGGGTGACAAAACAATCTGATCGTCCACTGATTTGCCATTTGCGTTTTGCACAATACCGGGGGCGTTGGTGTTCAAATCAGACTGGAACTTTTCATAAACATTAATTAAAAATGTTTGCAGATGGGTAAAAACTACTTTCTCCAGGACTTTAGATAAGAAAGATAGTTTAGAGAAGGGCCTGAAGTTAGAAAGAACAGAGGGGTTGAGATTTTCCGTTTTTAACAGGGGCTGCATAACAGCCTGTTTAAAGGCAGACAGAACATAACCAGAGACAAGACAGGTATTTATCAATGACAAAATACATGGTCTAATAGCGTCAAAGACTTCCCTAATCAGACAAGAGGTAATGCTGTCTGAGAGACAATTCGTGGGCCACAGATGATGAACCTCTTCAGATAGGGAGGAGACTGATATTGGCTGAAACTGATCCAGGACGTCAAGGCACATAGGAGGAACAGATGGTTCATGGTCAGAGGATGTGGTTACAGAAGATTGAAGGGCAAAAATCTTTTCAAAAAATAATTTTAGAAAAGTCACAGAGGTCCAATGTAGGTATAACAGGATCAGAATCACGGGGATTTGTAAGGGTGAGACCAGGTTAGATCTAAAATTAGATTATGCAGATTTTACAGCTCTCTCTAGTCAGACAGATATTGCTGTAGGATGTCATATGACTCCACTTTCTCCATCCGCAGGTCTCCCAGCAGCTTCCGCTCCCCTATTTCCAACCTCCGGTGGATGCCAGCCTTGAAATTGGTGACTCCAGCCTTGAGGGAGCCAGGAGTGTGTCGTCTCTGTTCCACTATATGGCAAGGCAAGCTAACATTGAGCTAAAAGGATGCTAACATCAGGCTAACATGCGGTCTGCCCGTGGATCAGCCGGCTGTCGTTAGCCACACTGTGTGTGCCACTGCTGTTATGTTGTAACCTGCAGCTCGAGCACACAGTCCACTCCGTCTGTTCGGTCAGAGGGCCCTTTTCACACACCCCTCTTCACTGTCTGTGAACACTCCCCTTCCGGCAGAGACTGGCTGCGGGCTCGTTTGTGATCACGGCATCACCAACGCGTCCCCCTGTTTGAATGAGCCAACGGAAGCATTAATCACGCTTTGTGCGCACATAACATTACAGACACGCACCATATCAGATGATTTTCGTCCCGTAAAATCTGCTGGGTGCTATTTTGTCTTTATGCCACACTTTACGCAGTTCAGAACGCTGCCCTCCAGGCGGAACCGCAGGAACTCCTGGAGAAACAGGCTATCTCCAGGGTTCCTCTGGGGCAGGAGAATGAAGGGTTCTACTCCCATTATTTCCTGGTCAGAAAGAAGACGGGGACAATGGGGCCCATCCTAGATCTGTCATTGTTCAACAGGGCGATTATGGAAAGACCTTTTTGCATGTTGACGGTGAAGCAGGTGTTCAAGTGGTATGCCAGGGGGGACTGGCTCACCTCCATCGACCTGAAGGAAATGTACTTTCACGTACCCGTCATCCCAGAACACAGAAATTTCCTGCGGTTCTCCTTCTGGGGCTCTCAGTACCAGGACAACTGGCTGCCTTTTGGTTACTCGCTGTCCCCACGCACTATTTCCAAGTGTTGGGACGGCACTGGAGCCGTTGCGGTGGGAGGGCATCAGGGTCCTGTTTTATCTGGACTACCTGCTGCTATTGGTGCACACCTGTCACACCTGGGTTTTACAGTGAATTGGAAGAAAAACGCTCCTCTCCCCTCCCCTCCCAGAGGCTCACCTATTTGGGAGTGGTGAGCTGCTCTGCCATGTCATTCCACAGGTGGTAGTAAGGGCTCTGTCGATCATTAGGCTTCTGGGTCTCATGTTAGCAGGTCACGTGGTGGTTCCCCTGGGCCTCCTGCACATGAGGGGGCTACTAGCGGCCCCTACTGGGGTCCTGCTGGGCAGGGTCACATCCCATATCTCAGTCTTCACAGAAGCCTCCCTGTTGGGATGGGTAGAGACGTGCCTCTCTCAAGTGGTGGGCTATGGCAACCGGCAGCGCTTGTAGAAGCAGCAGCTGGTAGCTCCTACAAACTTTGCTACACTTTTGTTTTTTATCTGTTTTTCCCGGCTTTATTGCGTTACCTCTGACATAAATACTGTCATTGGAAGATGAAGACGAGGTTTTTGAATTAGAGCAGCCCCCCCTTCCAAAATATTGCTTCCAGCGCCCCCCATCGTCCTCGGAACGCCTCCTGGGGGGCACTGGAAGCAATATTTTGGAAGGGGGGGCACTGAGCTGCTTTTGGGGGGCGTTTGTTGGATAGAAATTCTAATGCGAGTTTACACTAAAGATTCACAACAATACGAGTTTGAACTTTAAACTACTTGCAAAAAACTGGTCTGCAACATTAAAACCTGCCAGTTTAGTCCACTGTGACTGGACGAGACTGTATTTTCTCTCCGTCAGCTACTTGTGGTGCAGCTCCGTGCTGCCTTCACGGGAACGGGAAACAATTTTACCCACATGGCGTTTACTGTGTAAACTCTGGAAAACTGACGTTCTCTTTCTTGGTGGAAAAGTGTTTATTTCTCTGAGGAATACACCATGAACACATTTACAAGACGGATATTCTGCTGTCGGACTCACCCTGAAAGCAACTTGGCTGCGACACCAGCGAGTGCTGAAGTTAACGTGTGTGGAATTATTCGTGAGCTTTCTGTCGGAACACAGGTGTTGGTTAGTTTTTTTCCCCCCGGCATGAGCGTCTCCTCGTCTCATTCAGTTCTGTCTGTTAGACGGCGAGGGGAAACTTCCAGCGAATCAGTAAGATAATGCAGTGCAGGGCATGTAGTAAAATATTCTGAATTCTCTTTAAATAGGCTAAAGACGTTAGTCTCCTAATATTACGACTATTTTTCTTTGCATGTCAGAGAACACAGATACGTGGGAGAGATTCTGAATGTGCACAAAGTTTTGAACATGAGCAGATAAGTTACAGTGTTTCCCGTACATTCATTTATTTGTGGCAGCCCGCCACAATATCAACGCTGACTGCCACATATTGATTTTCGATTTTAGGCCTATTTAAAACCTTATTTGAGCTGCAGGCAGCGCGTATTCACGCAGCACATCCTCTCGCTCGTCTCTCTCATCCGTCCCACGATCTCTCTCTCTCCCTCGTTAACACAGCTGCACACATCTGTCCAAGAAAACGCTGTCAATGTCGGAGACTCAGCTATTAAAAGTTATTAGCAAGCATGTAAGGAGCCTTGCTAATAAGGAGAGCCAAGTTAATGTTAGAATACAGCTCCACAGTTACACTGTCATTCTGTGGGAAACACTGAGTTATGATAAGTTATTAACAGATGAGCTAATAAAGTCCAGTCAATAACTGAATTAAAACGGATTAATTTATTACTGAGATGAAAGAGATGGTAAGACTTAATCATGTGTATTGACTCAGCAGGGATGATATTAAATAAGTTGATCTACAGGAGAAAAATATTTAAAAGCAATGAGAATGCCTGAGAGCCTCACTACATTATATTCTATTAGATTTATATATTTTGAATTGTCACCTGCCACCTGAATTTTTAGACATTTCCACCATAAATTGGTGCAGAAAAGGCAGAAATTGGAGGAGAATTTTCACCAGAATTCAG